CAATACAGGAAGTGTTTGAAGACAGAATTGTCAGTAGAGGACTGTGGCCTCCCAGATCCCCAGATCTCAGTATTTCTGATTATTATCTTTGGGGCAACCTGAAGCAAAAAGTCTACAAAAATAATCCCCGCAGCATTGATAGTCTTCAAAATGAAATTACACGCGTAATTCATTCAATTACCGTCGACGAACTGCAGAGAGTGTCGCGTAATTTATTTGTGAGATGCGCGGCATGTTTGCAAGCAGAAGGAGGTCACTTTCAGCACCTGTTATAAACCACGGTAAGTTATCTTTTTACTGTATTCTTATAAATGTGTGCATGTAGAGCAACTGATGGACGGAGACTCAGCGACACCACTACACTCACGCTATCGGGGAACGGCACTGCAGTCGCGGGGAGGAGTTGCATCCGTTCTGCGGTGGTATGACTCACGGCAAATTGCAGCCGCGGCGCGCACTTGATTGTACGCACTGTATAATGCAGTACATTTATATATTTGTGACTTGTTTTCAGTATCTTGTTATCCATGAGCTTAGTGTAAGAGAAAATGTGGAAATGTACTGTTCATAATTACTCCCTTATGAAGTTAAATATGAATTGTTGCCTTCCAAAGCAATTATTTTGCTGGTGTATGGGAGATACCTGAAGTCTCAGGAGTTGCACTGGAAGAAGTAGTTTAAGAGCCTCTGCATGCATGTGAAAAGAACAAGTTCCTATAAGATCCCCCAAAAATTATAAAATACTCGTATAAATGCAAAACACTAAAGAGTTTAGGATGAGCACTAAAAGGTTGGAAAGACTGCTTTGTAATGTGCTCATAACAGGCCAATGAAGTCCTATGTTTGGATGATCATCTTCATCTCAGACATAAGGCCTGTGGCCTTTTATGGTTACATGCCCCCTATTTGTCTCCTGGGCTTTTATGCATTTATTCTTAGATACATTCAAGCCTGAGTCTTTATCATTAGCATCTATCCAGTTATATCTGTATAAAACTAGAAAAAATGGTGGAGTCTGCTGACCAAGAAGCAGCGAGTCCAGTGGTAGGATTGAAAGGATTATGATGACTGATCTGAAAGTCTGACAACTTTTATTTGGAATCTGCATTCAGGTATATACTGGACAACCCACAGCTTATGCAGGGTCGACGAGTGCTGGATGTAGGAAGTGGAAGTGGAGCATGTGCAATTGCGGCAATGAAAAGTGGTGCTCTAAATGTGACAGCAAATGATATTGATCCAGGTATCCTGAAACCCACACAAAATATGTTTCATCTTCAAAGTGAGATAACAGTTTCTTTTTTTGTACAACCATACAGTTCTGTAACCATGACAGAATACTAGGATATTGTGGTGTTGGAATTTTAAAAATAAGTTGATAAGAAATTGCATTTTATTATACTGAGACTAAACAATAGACAAATATTTTATACCTTCCATCACATCATTCATATTTATCCTGAAAAAGAAAATGCCTTTTCAAGTAAACCTGATATTTTGAAAGTTAACCACTACTCCCATTATACAGGTCAAATCTCTCAAGTCTGTCACCCTTGGGACCAGACTGGTACTGGACCTGAGAATTTTCCAAACCATGGGTGGTAAATAATAAAGCAAAACACTGATACCCACACTGTACACATTCCCTGCCAGAAGTGACAGATGTTAACAGACAACAGCCAACCAAAAATAAGATCTAACTAAAAGTTTGTGATGGTGGTATATTCATACTGTCACATGTAATAGTGACTATAGACCGGGTTTGGATTGGCAGATTGATTACTGGATATTCACAAGTTGTAACTACAATTAGTTATTACACTCTCAAGATTACAGGAATTATAACACCTAAATAAATTCTTCTATATCTGCTTGCACTGGTCGTTGGTCAGTAACAGATCTCAACAGTGGCTAAGCCTTGACAGTGCTTTCACTGAATTACACACTCCACATAAAGTCTTCTCCTCATAGCCACCTATACAGAACTGAACTGATCTGAGCTACAACAGATCCTTGTTATACAGACTCTGCATGGACCACAAAGAAAACAAAAGTCTCGTCATTGCCATCCTGCTAGTTCATTGGGGCGTTGACTTCTGCCTATCAATGACCTATAACATTTGTCCATTGAGTTTCCATTGTTGCGCATTGGACTGCGTTTACCGAGCCGTTGCCTAGAAACCGGATGCATAACCCCAGGTATTACTCAACAATGACTGTTTCTGTGGCTCAAAAGTTCTTGAATGGGGCAAATACATCACATTACAATTATTAAACCATTCATACCTAGCATCAGTGGGAAGAAACTGCCATTTGGCTAACTAAATTTGTGCTGGACCATTGAATGGACTTCAGAGATCTGACCTGTATATGTGAACTAGAAGGGCATGCTGCAGGAATGGTATTCCCATCATCTTTCCTTCATGAGCCAATGATGCAGACATAAATTTGTTCAAATTTTTAGTTCTTGTCTTGCACCATTTCTTCTGTTTGGGGGAGTGATATCTTGTTGAAATTCTTTCCTTTATGTAAAGATGCCTTGTTACTACCATATGATTAGAAAGGTAAGGGAACTTCCAGTCTTTTTTAAAATTTCATTTTCCTAACAATTTTTTTCTTGATGTCCATATGTTAACTTTTGATAGCCATCAACCACTGACATATACTAAGAATTAAATTAACTACAACATTTCAAATTCAGTACAGTGCAAAAAAGCAGTTTTCTTTGCTCCTGCTGGTTCATGTAGGAAACTGCCTTTCTTCTGTGAATGTCTTAGAAACATTTATGTAATAAACAAAACAATGAAACCTGATGACATACTGTGTGTTTCACTTCCATGTAATAAATGTTCCATTATGCTGAATCAAGGCAATAAGACTGAAAGATACATAACTTTTTAATTTTAGAAGATTTTTCAGCTTTAATTTATTGAATATTTGTCAACTGAATTACTGATCTAAGAAAAACTATTATTGTCTTCACCAGTGGTAATATGACAATCACATGAGTACAGTTATCACCAGATTGCCATATTAGGATTTTTCAACACCAATAAACTGGGTAATGTGGCACACAGGCAATACAGCAGCAGTGTTGCATCATATTGTACAGAATTAAGAGCTACTGATGACCATCTATACATCTAGCAACAGCTGTTTCTCTGGCTCCACAGTTTTTGTTGAGCAAATGTACCACACCATTATTCTATATTTATGGAGAAGTAACATACTCCTCAGATGTTGCAGAATGTTGCTCCCATGTCAGAGATACAGTGCTGAATCACTGATGGTAATGGTACAGCTTCCTACTATTTTTCTCAAGAGATATTGTGCGGAACAAGGAACAAGCACATAGGTATTTACATTATCCTATACTGCTACTTGCCCTCTTGAAAATCAGCTTACTTACACTTTGTTACATATGTACAAACAGATTAATAATAGGGCTGCATATAGAAAAGTCTTGAAGCTGGAATTGTTCTTATTTCTTTACAGAGTCCATGTCTTCTATATGTCCCCAAATTCAGATACCACACAGCAGTAAGTTGTTTGTAGGTCTCACTGTTGGGAGACTAGCACATCAAAATGGTTCTAATAAAGGGCTTAATAGTGTAAATTTTGACAAACAAAAAGACTGAAGTTATGATATGTAATTCATATTACTTGATTATTTTTATGTATGGAACAGAAACTGGATCTGTACCAAGAGCAGATTATAAGCAGTAGGGATGAAGTTTCTGAGGGGTATTAAGAAGCATGTAAGGAATACAATCTGAAACCAGGGCATCAAACAATATCTTAGAGGTAAATGTTACCAAAAACAGTGGCATGGGTGACAGCATGCATAAGAGTATGCAGAATGAAACTGCTGAATCACCATCAGGGAGACCAAGTAAGGAAAGATATACAAAACAGAATGTGGAAATAAGGACACAGATACAAGCCTATGAGAGAGTGGGGAAGAACAGATTATTTGCTTCTTAATTTAGTTAATGCTACAGTCAGCTGTGCCATAGCTCAAGCGGTTAGTTGCTGGCTTCCCACCACGGCGGCCCAGGTCTGGTCAAGTGGGATTTGTGGTGGACAAAGTGGCACTGGGTCAGGTTTTCTCCGAGTACTTCGGTTTCCCCTGCCAATCTTCATTCCACCAATTGCTCCACAATCACCCTCACCTATCATCTGGGGCTGGTACAATAGGCCAGAAGTGGACGCAGTACAAGGGACTTAGTCCCACCGCACTAGCGATAAAAAATAATGCTACAGTCTCAACTTCCTAGGTTATGTAGCAGTGCATGAAGGATTATAATTGTTTAGTCAGCACAGCTCGCCTCTGGGTTTGAAATTCAAAATCCAGACCTCCCACATATGAAGCAAGTGTACACTCTATTCAGTTAGGTGAATATGTATAGTATTGTCATAGGGCAAACATCCTGATGGATGTGTCAGTGGATGACCATAACATTATATTTACACTATTTTGTGGCTATTACTTTTTCTTGCAGTTGCTGCCACTGCAATTAAGATGAATGCTGCTTTGAATGCTGTGAACATTGATGTGTGTAAGAAGAATCTGGTGGGGGAGAGCTGTGATAAATGGAACTGCATTCTGCTAGGAGATATGGTCTATGATGCTGAATTCACAGCACAGTTGTTAAAGTGGCTGAGGGCCTTCAGATGTCAAAGAAGACTTATCCTGCTTGGAGATCCAGGGAGACAGGCACTTCGAGACATTGAAGACAACTGTCTCACCAAAGTAGCCACATACTGTCTGCCAAAAAGTGCATGCCTAGAGAACAGAGGCTTCACACAAGCATGTGTTTGGAGGTTTATGTAGGGTTGTATGACAACATGTCCAACCATCAGACCATTCAGCTTTTAGTTTTTATTTGGGGTTATTTCTGTAGTTTTGAAACCAAAAGATTTTTGTGGGTAAAAGTATTTGGGAAATCCTGTATATACACTTCAATCTGTGAAGGCAGGCCAGTTATGAAGTACAAACAGCAGGTATAAAAAACTGAACAGGTAAATATTTACTGTTGTTTAACATGCTCACTGTGCCAGGAACTGGTATGACACAGCCTAGTCATCTTATGAACAGTGTCCACTAGATGAAAAAGAAGTATTATGATTGGTATTCTTCCAAATATGTTTTATTGATTTTTGCATATCTCATTTGGCTCATCACTAAATTTATTTCAGATACGTATCTCTCACTGTGGATAGACATGTGTTCTTCCAAAGCTAATCACATTAGAGATACGGGAGCCAGGACAGCTATTTTTCTTTTATTGCTAGTGCGGTGAGACTAAGTCCCTCGCACTGCAGCCACTTCTGGCCTATTGTACCATCCCCAGATGATAGGTGAGGATGATTGTGGAGCAATTGGTGGAATGAAGATTGGCAGGGGAAACCGAAGTACTCGGAGAAAACCTGCCCCAGCGCCACTTTGTCCACCACAAATCCCACTTGACCAGACCCGCGATCGAACCCGGGCCACCACGGTGGGAAGCCAGCAACTAACCGCTTGAGCTGTGGCTCGGCCCATTCCAGGATAGCTAAGTCAGTATAGTGATGGCTTGTGCGCTGGGTGGCCAGGGTTCAATTCCTGGCAGGGACAAGAGACTTCTCTCCTCTCCACACCATCCAGATCAGTTCTGGGGCCCACCCAGCCTCCAATCCAATGGGTACCAGGAACTCTTTCCCTGGGGGTAAAGCAGCCAGAGCATGAAGCTAACTATTCCTCACTACCCCATACCTCTTCATGTCATAATGCTTAATTAATTAAAGCACAGGGACATTACCTTTACCTATCCAAGGTTTGTCTGTACAGACTGAGGAAAATCATGATAAACCTCTGTCAGGATACCCTGTCTCCAGAGTGATGTTTAAATCTGGGACCTTTCGAATATGAAGGAGTGCTGAGTACTTAACCATGATATATGGTGTAATGTTCATAAGCTTTACAAACCCTGATGACATCTTCTTAAATTCAGCATGATCCATGACTGAACAAACTGATGTAGAAGTAATGCTTCAAGGTTTGTATTCAGCAAGCATCCACACTGAATACTGGTAAGTTACTAGCTATCTTCGTTGTCCACACACTCTCTCAAGTGAATGTAGGAAGAGTATCATTAAATAATCCATGACTACACAATTTAAAATATTTACTTATTCATGATCATATTTTCAACTAACCTCTGTGTTGAAACAGCATCTGTAAACAACCTAAGAACGAGAGGTCAGAAAATGATATCACAATTATTCCAGTGAAGAATATGTAGTTTTAACCTTAGCATATATCTTAAAAAGTATTACCAAGAGAGTTCAGAGTAGGTAGATATCCAATTTCTGCAGTACATTTCCAAGTAAGTTTCATCACCACTACCAACAGTGTCATCGTCATCATGATGAGATCATTGGCCATTTCAGTCCCTGATAGAATATTGTTTGTCTCTTCATCTTCTCGCATTTCTTTTATTTCCTGTTATGTATCTAATTAATACAGTCAACTCTCGATTATCCGGGGGCGGATTAACCGGTTTGCGGCTTAACCGGGGCTTTTTTTTTTAAGTTTATATGTTGTTTAATATTCATTCACTTTTGTTTCACATGGTGAGTTTAACACTATTTTCGCACTAGTGTGAACCGAGCTCTGCATTATTTCGTCCCGTTATGCGAACACAATGTTCTAGGGTGGGGGTGAAAGAATGCAAGAATTTTTGGAAAGTTTCAAGGACAAATACACCGCCCCAGGTTATTTAACGGTACCATCTCAGTGTGAGAGTGCATTGTGAAAGTAAGTATCAGTTTCTTAATATAGATCTTCAAGTGCGTTAGCAAAATGTCGGGGTTTAAAAGGAAGCGTGTTGTGTTAAGTATTCAACAGAAACTTGAAATTATCAATCAGCTGGAAAAAGGAGCTGTAGTTAAACAATTAGCAATGCAATACGGTATTGGAGAACAAACTGTTCGTGATTTGAAAAAACAAAAGAATGAGTTAATTTCCTTTGCTTCGTCTTCTAATTCAAGCGGAATGAAGAAGAGAAAAACCATGAAGAAATCAACATACGATGATCTCGACAAAGCGATGCTGACCTGGTTTAATCAACTAAGGGCACAGGGAACAACAATAACAGGACCAGTTTGTGCTAAACAAGCTAAATATTTTTTCGAAGCACTTGAACTAGAAGGGAGTTTTGACGCTTCTTCCGGTTGGCTAACACGTTTCAAGCAGCGTCATGGAATACGAGAAATCAGTATTCAAGGTGAGAAATTGTCAGGGGACTTGTCAGCATCAGATCAATTTTGCACCAATTTTGATAGTTTTGTGAAAAGTGAAAATCTGCTGCCAGAACAAATCTATAATGCCGATGAAACGGGTCTTTATTGGAAATGCTTGCCAACCAGAACATTGGCATTTCAAAATGAAAGACAGGCTCCAGGTCACAAATCCAGTAAGGAGAGATTGACAGTCTTGTGCTGTTCTAATGCATCAGGAACACACAAACTAATACCAGTAGTTATCGGCAAAGCGAAAAGACCACGCTCTTTTAAAGGAACAGTAGCTTCAAGTCTGCCTATCCATTATTTTAACCAGAAAGTAGCTTGGATGAATAGAGCGATATTTAAAGAATGGTTTGATTTTAAATTCGTGCCTCAAGTTCGTGACCATCTAAAATCCCAAGGCCTACCTGAGAAAGCTGTGCTCCTCATTGACAATGCGCCCTCACATCCTAACGAAAGTCTCCTGAGGTCAGATGATGGAAATATTTTTGTGAAATATTTTCCCGCTAATGTTACCGCACTTATCCAACCAATGGATCAAGGAGTTATCTCAAGTATGAAGAGAATCTACAGATCAAATTTGCTACAAAAGTACATCGATGAAGGCAATGATCTGACGTGTTTCTGGAAGTCCTTTTCAGTATTAGATGCCATATACGAGATTTCAACAGCGTGGGATACAGTAAAGCCATCTGTATTGAAAAATTCATGGAAGAAACTGATGCCTTTCATCACTAATGAAGATGACGAAATCCATGGATTCACTGGATTCAGTGAAAATGAGATAGCCATAAAATTGACAAAAGTGGCTAACCAAGTTCATGGTGGTGAAGAAGTCAACGAGGAAAATATAAGAGAGTGGTTTAACTGTGACTCGTGTGAACCGGGCTTCGAAATGTTAAGCAGTGACGAAATCGTAACTTCAATGGGGGTGCAGCCAGAAGAGCGGGAAGAAAGTGAGAATGAGGAAGAGGTGGACAGTGTTGCCAGTAAGAAAGTATCACATGGTGCTGCGCTTAATCATTTGGAATCCTTACTAGACTATCTTGAGAGTGAAGAGGACAGTTTATTAAGTGACAAGCTAATATTACGTAGGCTTCGTACGGATATCCGTAAAAAGGAAAATGCCGCGAAAAAGCAAAAGACAGTATTAAATTATTTTAAGTGTTAAGTGTGACCGTAAAAAGTGCTGGATGTTGTTGAACAGTGATTGAAATAACTAATTCATACTGAGTGTAATGTAAAGAAAGTATTAAATAGGCCATGAGATGACATAGAAATGAGGATGAATAAATTTAAATACAGGTAGGTCTATAGTATTATGAAGGTATTAAAAGGTAAAAGGTAAAGTTGTTCCTCTGCTCAACGAATTAAGCCCTACGCCATTAAGGCGTGTGGGGGAGTGGATGTATAGATCCAAATTTTCTTGACCTCGGCACTAGTTGGAGGTGAGTGGTCAGCTTCACGCCCCGGCCGCTTTACCCCCGGGGAAAGAGCCCCCGGTACCCATTGGATAGGAGGTTGGATGGACCCCAGAGCCGGTCTGGACGATTTGGAGAAGTTAAAATTCTTGACCCTACCGGGACTCGAACTCCGACCCTTCACAGTCGTCCAGCCCGTATAATAAAATTTGGCTTAACCGGGTTTTCGATTAACCGTGACTTCCATCCCCACCATTAGCCCGGATAATCGAGAGTTGACTGTAGTTGTAATGTATAGTCCCGTTCTGTCAACATCATTAAAAATTTGAGGTAAGTGAGGCTAGCACATTAAGTAAGTTATTCTTCAAAGAACGTGAAGAATTGAGAGAAAATGACCTTCATATATCTCAGCCTGGAGCCTGCATTTCCTTCTTTCTTTGAATTTCAACTCAACAGTAATTAAACAAGTCAGTCTTTCTCCATGAATCTCAATCACACAACAACTCACACAAAAGCTTTAAATCTAACTTGGTTACTTAATTCAAGGTAGAGACATTGCACCTTATTTTCAGTGTCAGGACTATTAGGTCAGTATATCTCTATAAAGAATGATTCTGTATGAGTTCACACAAAGTTCACACTGCAATGAAACCTCAGTTTCATTCTGCATCAACAAATTATTCTTTTTGGCAGTACAGCCTGATTTGAACCTCAGTTTCCTCTGCTAAGCCTAAATGCATACTGAAACTAGTGGTATCATTCCTTGGATCAAAGATCGGTTCTCAATATATGAAAATAAAACTTCTGTGCACCAACCTGCAATCTTAGTGTTATACCTGTTCAGGACTGTGTATACCTTAGATATGTGGTCACTGCAATCAGCTTCAATGCAGACTGATTAAACAATACTGTCATGTGTTCAGGGTTCCGTGGCTAATAATGACTGGTTCTGGAATGGATAACTGCATTTACTGGCACTTCTTTATAATTATAATCAATTATAACAGCTCACAATCCATGGCTGTCCAAGATTTGCTCCATTCCTTACTGAACTACAAGTGTTTTCTCTTGTACTCTGATAAATGACAAATGAAGAATCATTTCTAACTCTCTCCTGGACTGAACTAACTTCCAGGCAAACTGAATATAAGCCACCATGTCTTACAGTTCCTGTTATTCTGTTTTTATTTGCTGCAGCAGGAATGTGCTTACTGAACTGCTGCTGTCTATTTGTTGCAGTGGGAACATGCTTGGCGAGCCATTGGCTAGCAGTGGACTTCCACTCCAGCTTTCAGGCAACATGTCACATTGCTTCTTCCTCAAGGCTGTTCGTCCTGAATAGCCTGTATCACTGTTCCCTCTTTTCTGAGGTTTCTGCTCATGACTCAGTTTTTCCCATGTGACTGTTCACCAACCACTCCTATTAAGGGCACTCATCCATAGCGGCTCCCTTGTAACGTCCCAGTCAATCCAGGTGCATCACCACCATCCAAAGTTTCTCTTTTCCAACGGTGGGGGCAAAACTATCCTGAGAGGCTGATGCTCCCACATTTCCTGCTCCTACTCCACGCAAGATCTCTTTTTCCATTTTGGAGGGGGCTGATCCCTCCACAATGTACAGTTCACGTTCTTTTGTAACCCGCTGGACCCTCTGGCTGCTCAATTCATGAACCCCAGAGTCCTAGGGTCTTTTTGAATTCCCTCTTGCTGCACAGTAGCATAGTTGGTTGAGGCACTATGCTACAAGTCAGAAAGTCACAGGATCAAATCCCGATGAGGTTATTGGATTTTTTCAGTTTACCTAATCCTTCCAGCCACACTATGGCCCTGGGGTCGACTCAGCCTTTAACAGAAATGAGTACCAGGAATATTCGTGGAATGTTCTTGGGGGTAAAGGGTGGCCGGTGCGTAAGGCTGACAACCTTACTGCCATCTATGAGCCGATTGTCTAGAAAATGAGGGAACCACAACATCTCACAACCCCATGGGCATCCACAGCCTGTTACAGGGATACCTTTACTTTTTCACTTTACTTGCTGCACAGCTGCTGTCTCAGACCTCGGTTCCTTATCCCATTTTTGCGTTTTGGTTTCGACTGATACCTCCTCCCAAAGTTCTCAGTGCAGCATTGTCCTTGCCTTGTCCCTGAGGCCTCTCCCTTGAGCTGTCATCTTCATGCCTGCAGCGGCCAATTTCTTCCAGGATCCACAATTTCCCTGGGGCTGTTCCTCTGGCTGTTGGTGGCCCCTTTTGGTTAGACGCCAGTCCCTGTGCCGCTTATTTAGCGCTCTGCCAGTTTCCACTGTAGCATGCTACTTAGGAACCTCCTGATGCTCCACTGTGGACTCTTTTAACTCCATTGGATCGGCCTCCAACTTTTCTAGATTGGCCTCTGTCATTTCTCAGTCAGCCCTCTTCGCTTTTCACCATGCCCTAAGGGAGTGAATTGCCATCTGTTTTTTCTTGGTTGGCTTTTGTCTTTTTTTATTGCCTTTAAATTGGCGTCTGCTGTTTCTTCCATGGCTTTCATTTCTTCTTGGCTGGTCCTTATTTCAGCCAGCAAGCATGCCATTATTTGTTCCATTGTTTCTTTCATGGTGTGATGGTGTAACTTTTTCTGCAATTTTCAACCCAATAATTTGGTCCCATTGATCAAATCTGACCAATTCCAACACCAGTTGTCACATGTCCAGGGTTCTGTGACTAATAAGAACGGGTTCTGGATTGGATTTATTGGCGCTTCTTTACGATTACAATCAATTAGAACAGCTCACAATCCATGGCTGTCCAATATTCACTCCATTCCTTACTGAACTACAAGTGTCTTCTCTTGTACTGTGATGAATGATGAATGAGAAACGAAGAATCATTGCTCATCTCTCGTGGACTGAACTAACTTCCAGGGGAACTGAATATGTCACCATGTCTTACAGTTGCTCTGTTATTCTGTCTTTCTGTGTTTATTCATTGCAGCCAGAACAAGCTTACCGAACCATTGCCTAGCAATGGACTTCGCTCTGGCTCCACTATTCCTGCTTTCAGGTGTCATGTCACAATATTGTCAATTTAAAAGAGGAATACTTTATGTATATATCAGTGTTTTATTAAAGGAATTCTTTAAATAAACTAGACACTGACCTCCAAGTTTTATGGCACCTTTATTAAATGCAGTTTCTACTTTGGACTGTTCAATCTTCATATTATAATAGTATAAAATTCAATTTCTTCGCACTCACAATAACAACAAAGAATGTACCTTATATCTTAATTATAAAGAATTTATCTTATCTCAGTGCTTTAAAACCTGAAAAAAAAAATTTATCTCAAGAAGAGAGAAGTATACTAGTTCCATTCTGTCTCTGAAATATTCACTAGAATTAAGAAAAAGCAATGAACACCAATGTGAATTTCTATACATATGGTACACTTTTCACCACAAGAAAGAAGTGGCCGTTTGAGGGGCATTTCTTAAGCATGAGTCCAATTTCTGTGGTGGGAATGTACTTCCATGAAGCTTTTTAAGCTCTTATATGGACTTGACTAAACTCTATCATATGTGCTCTTACTTGAAGTGGCAGAAGATACACTCATGCTCAGGTGTGTTCTAACTCAAGCACATTAATCATTTCTCACAGAACTTCGTAGCTGCTTATGGCTGCACTTCGTAGATTGTTACACTGAAATTTATACTTGAATAAATAATTGATAACCATGTTTAAAGCCTTATTTCTTATGTAATAATTAGATAGCATGTTTCAGTTACTGACTAAATACTAGTCCCTTATTTTCAGGCACCTGTAACTAATACTGGAAATATAACAATTTGTGTGATATTTGTGGAATGACATCTTGAGAACAATCTCTCTCACCCACCACTCTTTCTGCAATCTAAGAGCGTTAAGGTGCTTAGTAATTTTGTGTGTGTGTGGGTGGGGCTCAAGGATTTTCACTTCCTTGAGGTTTTCAATTGTTCTTGTTGTGAACTCATGGCCTTGATGTGCGCACATAATTTCAATATTTGATTACATCTTGAAGCGCCCTAAAAAGTGTGTCTGGTTGACCAAACTACTTACTTTATGTCAACATTTTGTTCACAGACAATTCAACATTCCTCATAACTACACACTGTACAGAAGTTAAATTTGGTATGAAGACTCTTTGGAGCTTCCACATTTCCACTGCAGGAAGATTTGCACCTGAACTACAACCACTTGGAAAACATTTTTTATTATGTTCATTATCTCCATGCATTCAGGAATCTATTGCTGCTTAAATCATCCCTCCAGACCAATTAGAATGTGAAATGTCTCAGTAGAAATTTATGATGATAACAGATACCGCCTGCCAAAGTGATATGTGAGAAGAGCAGTATGCGAAGCAATGCTTTAAAGCCAGGTAACAGCAACTACCACAACAGACCCCCACATTCTCTATGGTTGGTGGGGGGGGTCAAACTTTGATGCTCATATAATACTTAGTAATATATATCTACAATACTATATCTGTGGTCTGACGAGAGATCTGCTATATAAGGCTGGTGACAAAAATGCCAATGTAATGCACCTTGGATTTAAACCAGACAAAATTCAGAATGGTTAGTATTCCACTGTGAAAATGGTGCAAAATTTAAACTTCCTATATTTCTGTGTGTTTTGAGATCTGGCATTGTTAAGAAGCAATATCCAAATTTGAAATATGAAATACTACTTTCATTTTTCTGAAAACACAACAGAATTCTGATACCAATCTATATTATGTCACATAATGTTTCCTAAAAAAATCATTTTAAATTTACTCATCTATTTTCTAGCATGTATCTTACAACAGAGGAGGCAGCATTGTATTTAATTTACTGCAGACAGCATTCAGTCTTATTTAAAGATAATCATAACTAAGCAAATATGTTTAACTAATATTCTCTGTTAAGTTCTATACATATTTACATAAAGTTCTGGGGATTATTCTCTGCCAAAGCTGGTATGTAATATTAGTATTTATTTCTGGCTAGTGAAATATGACGAATTTGTTATTTCCTACTACAGACATAAAAAGCTGTAGTTGGAACATAACACTGTGATGCTTATCTGGCAGGTATTATGATTCACATGCTAAACATATGCATAAGTTGCACTTGTGCTATGTTCAAGCTATACATTATCTCTCTGTTCATTCAGGAAGACCACACTGTCTTGCAAGTTCTATGTCCCAGCATTAATTATAGTACAACATAACATCATGATCTGGGGAGCAGGCATACAACCAGTGATCAGCAAATGGAGAGATACCCTTCATAGACTTACTTTAACACTAAACATAAAATCAAACTATAAACACATCACAGGCAAAACTACAGCAAATTCAGCAATTATTAATACAGAAATAAAGCCAAGTTTATCTTTCTCACATTAAAATAATTGATGTGCCATATTAATGCTGGTGGTAAGTGGACATTTAACAAAAATGAAAATATTTTCTTCTTGAAATATTTCATATCCACCAACTTATTTTAAGGTTAAAATTGATTCTTCGCTTCAGATTTCAAAAGAGAACTGCCTCTTTTCTACAGACATATGCATAATTATGCTGACATAATTTTAAGGTTAAAACTGGTTCTTCGCTTCAGATTTCATAAGAGAATGGTCTCTTTTCTATAGACATATGCATAATCATACTGACATAAAATACTAGCCACTTGTTATTGAAACTTGTTAGCTACATTCAACACCAGCAGCCGTCTACAAAACATGGTGGATGGAGAGAGTGGCCATCTTACCACTGACATGTTAAAGTGTTGCATTTACCTGTGCTGCTCATTCAACTGTCAGCATGTCTATACCGGACTGCAACTGTGTCATGCTCAGTTGTTATAATACTTTGTGCTGCTTCTGACTTATGGCGCTCCATGTACCGACGTCGAGCAGACAAAAGTAGCTGTTCCTTGCGAAGTTGTAAGATACGCTCTCGTTCTGTTGAGGACTTTGAGAATCGACCACCAAGATTTACGGAGGCTTCAATACTAAAATGTAATAACATCAATTAGTACTATAACAGTAACTCTGATTAAGAAGTTTCATGTGTGGACTGAAGTACATTTTGAAAAAAAAAACTGCATATGAACTATTTTGTCTTAGTTTAATGGCTTCTCAATTGTTTGACCCAGAAAGTTATGACATTTAGTAATTGTTACATAAATAACTGAAAAGTAAATAGTACTAAATGTTCCCTGGTCATTGCCCTATATTCCAGGTTTAAAATCATTCAGGTACTGTGTAGGAATAGTTAGGAAATGATAATTCATTTTTGTAAAATGATGTTTCTTTTAATTCTTTAAAAGTGACAAGAAGAGCCATGATGTGGGAAAGGGCAACCAAGCAGCTGATCCTCAATGTGTTAAGTTGGTACAGTACAGTACACTGCAGTAATTCTTCTCTATTCCACAGAGAAACAAGAAGTTCCAATCAGAACTCCTAAAGCCAACACCCTAACTGCATAAATTTTCAGTCCTACAGATCTACAGAGTTTGTTTATTGTCTGACATTTTAAAATTTGTGTAACTTCTTTATTATTGATTGCAACTGTATGAAGCTTTCACAGATTGCACTACACGCTTGAGAAATTTGTTTATCACATTGCATTGTGTTCCAGTGGCTTGGCAACGGTAAGCCTTGGATATTCTGAGGCCCAGGATCACACATTTTGCTTGTTAATAAAACCACTCAAGTGGAACTGTGCTTCATTGGTGAATCCTCATGACATTCAGGACTGACCTCCAGTAGGGGTCTGTAACCACCCCCACCCCACCCACAAGAGCCTAATACCTCACTATTCCATCTCTTGACAATGGTGGACTCAGCTGCATTTTGTATAGAAACAATGACAAGTCATCAGGATAGATCTTCCATGCAGTGATCGTTGAGATCTCAATCTGCTGTGCTAAACACTGCACACATTTCTTACACTTACCACTATTTCTTCCTGTGTTGCACCAGCAACTTCCTCTGTATTAGTGGATGTACTACATTTAACGTTCCTTTGCACATTTCACACACTTCCCAGTTCTTTAAAATGTTTAACAATCAAGTACATGGTCTCTTCATGGTACAACATGACAATACTGTCTGTCCACAGCAACAAAAGAGTAAAGGGATCTGATAACAAACACTTCGGTATCTGCTGTCTGTGATGCCATCTTGTTACTCAGTTTGGCATTACCAATGGCAACAAACAAATTTCCCAAGTGTGTACAACAAACTGTCAAAGTTGCACAGAGATATGTTGAAAGAGAAATTACACCATTTTTAGACAAACAAAAAACACGTGTTATTACTGTTATTTCATTTTATTTTGGGGAAGAACTTCTTTTAAGTACAGATTCTGTGCATGTTAAATCTGTTGGACACAACCTTAAACTTTCCTTCTGTTCCCATGTTTTTAATTTTTGACGTAGAAACAATAATATTTCATACATAACGCATATGTATGCTTATGATCTATGTTCACATCATATTTCACATGATCTATTACTATATATCACTTTAGGATCTAAATTAAGTGACATTAATGTCATTTCCACATCACAATTTCACCCATCTGCCATACTGTTCTTACGGTTGCAGGATATTGTGCTGTCTTCACAGATGTAATGCTGTGTAGTCCAGCAGACGTCCACTGATGTTCTAGAGGATTGTACTGGCTCCATCTTCAGTCAAAGAGTTGCTGCCTGTTTCTCGCTTATCTTAATCTTCAACCCTGAAGATGGAGGCAGTATGTTCCTCTGAAATTTCACTGAACTTCTACTGAACTACACAGTGTTACATGCTAGAAGATAATACTGTTCATAGTCACTGCTGTGATAATCGAAAATCCAACAAAATGTATGGTGTTGGGATGTCTCCAATGTTATTACAAGTCAATTGGTTCAGAAGCTGAAATGGGGGGCATGCAGACAGACAGCACTGTCATCTCATAAGCCTACTGTCTTTCCTTAAGAAAGGAAATACACATCTGAATTGAATGTAACCATTTCTGGCTACAAATAATCAGTCAACCTTGTTCTCACAAGTCAATACTCGTACAATACACTGAAACTGAGATGCGAGAATGGTAAACAGAGATGCGTGGAGATCAGTTCTTGGTTGAATGACACTTACTCAGCTACACTAGCTATGTAGTGCTGCATGACAGGATTATCTGTGAATGTTGAATTGGAAACGAAATGGCCATGGCCTACTTTTGGGAGCTCTCCTGACATTTGCTGGAGGTATTGATGAAAATAGCAGAATCCTCAGTCCAAAATATGAAGCAGAAGTGCTAACTGGGTGATCACAGTGTGTAGTTGGAAGAGGTTACATTACAAATTCATGCACACTCAGAAATATTCTGATAATTCAAATCACTAAGACATTACTAGATATTTCTTTCTCTTTAGAGCATTTCATGAGCTGAAAAGAACTAGGGCAAAATTGCAGAGGGTATTTCTACAGCCAGGAAATTTTACCAGACTGTTAATAAGACATGTAATTTGGAAATGAAGGCTATAAGGGGTGAAAAGACCAGTCCTAAAAATAAGTTCACACAGGACCAAATGTAAATTTCAAAGACTCATAACAACCATCCTAACAAAAATATGTTTATAGACATTTAAAATGGTATATTTCTTGGATTCTAAGTGTTCATCGCCTGTAATATTATGGTGGGCGAAAATACCCTTTCAGCTCAGGTGATTAATTTCCAACTTTCAGACCCTGACCTATTCCTGGCACACTTCAGTTGGGAAATATAAGAAACTGTTATGCTGCACAAAACATACTCTTATTACACATTATATTATTTTCTTATTCTGGTATATGCAACAGAAACTTGGCCACAGACTAAAACAGATATAAGCAGTACACAATAAGTTTCTATGGAATATTAAGAAATGAACAAAAATAAAATCTGAAACCAGGACCAGTTAAGATCTGATAAAAAATCAGTGGATGATGATTCTGCTAATCACATTGGTTACCTACTGACCTGTCTGGATCATGGTGTTCTGAGAGATCATCCCAGAGTGAAACTGGCATGTCAGCTAGTCCTGGAGAATATTCCAGCTCTGGAAGTAGTGGCTCTGTGTCCCGCTGAAACATTGGAGGTGGTGCTACTACTCGGCCATCCAGTACATTTTCTATTGTAAGTTCAACAGAACGAGTCACTCGTAGATCCTCTATCACAGTTGCCAAGGCTAGATGAGGGAATAGCTGTTGTACCTGTGACATCAGGAATATAATTCAGAAGTGAAAAACTGTAATCATAATTTATAACACTAGCTACTTTTTCACATTACATTAAAGTGTCCTCTGTATTTACCCAAATGGAAGACAGTTCCAGATCTAAGATAATTCTGCACTAAGAAACATGTCTGCACAGAAAAAAGTAATTTTATGAATTAAAAGAATGAATAAAGAATAAAAGAATAAAAGAAGAATACAGTCAACTCTCGATTATCCGGGCTAATGGTGGGGACGGAAGTCACGGTTAATCGAAAACCCGGTTAAGCCAAATTTTATTATACGGGCTGGACGACTGTGAAGGGTCGGAGTTCGAGTCCCGGTAGGGTCAAGAATTTTAACTTCTCCAAATCGTCCAGACCGGCTCTGGGGTCCATCCAACCTCCTATCCAATGGGTACCGGGGGCTCTTTCCCCGGGGGTAAAGCGGCCGGGGCGTGAAGCTGACCACTCACCTCCAACTAGTGCCGAGGTCAAGAAAATTTGGATCTATACATCCACTCCCCCACACGCCTTAATGGCGTAGGGCTTAATTCGTTGAGCAGAGGAACAACTTTACCTTTTACCTTTTAATACCTTCATAATACTATAGACCTACCTGTATTTAAATTTATTCATCCTCATTTCTATGTCATCTCATGGCCTATTTAATACTTTCTTTACATTACACTCAGTATGAATTAGTTATTTCAATCACTGTTCAACAAC